TTATTGTTCAGCTCTTGATGAATAGCAAGTAACTGCAAAGACTATGGCCTGGATCAGGCACACCTTAGTCTCTGGAGTAACACTGTTGTTCTTTAGCACTCTAGGGGTCCCTGACAATAGACACTCCCAATGCAATTAGTCTTTTGATTTCCTGACTGCTGGTACCAAGAGTGTTGATTGTGGAACTATTAACAATGTCTTTACTGTCTATTATGAAGCCGCCAATTGGTCCAGAGGTCAGAATCTCTGCTTCCTTGATGACTACAGTTCTTGATCTTCTGCAGCAAACATCTGTATAGCACAGTTTGTTGATGAATGTTCCTCAAATCTTGATGCCACATTCCTCCTCATAAAGTCCAGCCTTCCAAATTATCTGTTCTATATATAGATTGAAAAGTTATGGAGATAGGCTGCATCCCTGATGCACACCTTTCCTGATCCTGAACCATGAAGAAGTTTTATTTGGAAATGTAAATGGATCTAAATTATATAGTGATCCAAGAAGTATATCACTAAAATAATTGTTCATATTTCATTTGTACCTTAATTTTAAAAAATGAAGAAATAAAGACTGATCAGGTTAAATGGAATAAAGGAAGAAATTAATAGTAGAGAAGAAACACATAGTTGATAGGAAAAAATTACTCATAAGGTTTAGATCATTTGCTATGATATAAGAACTTGTTTTATTTGAAATGCAGAAGAGTTATGAAAAATAAACATGTGCTTAACTACTTAATATTCATTAGCTGCGTTTCATCAACTAACCTTTGTGTTTCCTTAATTATATCCTTTTCCTACTCATGTTCTCTTTGATTGCTCTTTTTAATCTCCACTAATATTTTTCCCTTAAATCTCCTACTATTTTTCTTTAGCTTTTAGGGTTAGGAATGAATATTCCACAAGGATTGCATGAAACAAGTGAAGTCTCACACAGATTCCCTGAAAACAATCTTCAAAAGGTTGTGTCCACTCTTGGTGCCATTTCTCTGTAGTCAGAGGTTCAAACATGTGAATTGATCTTTTCTATATCTAGTTGTTCTAGATTAAATATTTTAGTCAGAGCCATAAAAATTACGCTCCATTATATTCACAGTCATTTAATTCTAATCTGTGTACTGACAACAAAGTGTTTCAGTTGCCACTTGAACAATGTGTAATGGGGACCTATTTCCCCATTATTTGTGCTTTTGATTTTGTGAATGGGGATTTCTCCTACAGGGATCTTTCTGGAGACTGTGTGCAAAGCATCTCCAATAGGGATTCAATTGTTGTTGTTGTTGTTGTAGTCATGTGCTGTCGAGTCACTTGCAAGTCATAGCAACCCTATGTACAACAGCCCTAAACCCCGTTCTGTCCTGTGTGAATCGCACTGTCTTCATTACACCCATCTCAATTACCCCAGTCACTGAATCAATCCACTTCATGAAGGCCTTCCCCTCTTGCGCCATCCCTCCATCCTCCCTAGCATGATGTCCCTCTCCAAGAACCAGTCCCTCCTTACATGTCCAAAGTATGTCAGACGACGCTTCAGAATGCTTGCCTCCAAGGAGCAGCCCAGTTTAACCCTCTCCAGGACGAACCGTTTTGTTTTCCTAGCAGTCCATGGTACAATCAATACTCTTCACCAGTACCACAGCTCAAAGGCTTCAATTCTCCTTCTATCCTCCCTAGTCATTGTTCAACTCTCTGATGCATAACAGGCTATTGCAAAGACCATGGCCTGTATCAGATGTACCTTAGTCTCCAGAGAGACACCACTGCTCTTTAGTACCCTGGAGACGTCCCTAACAGCAGACTTTCCCATCGCAATACGTTCTTTGATTTCCTGGCTACTGGTGCCAAAAGTGTTGGCCATGGAGCCAAGCAGACTAAAGTTCTTAAAAATCTCAATCTCTTCACCATTCATCTGATGCTTCCAATTGGTCCAGAGGTGAGAATCTTTGTCTTCCTGACATTAACCCTCAATCCATACTGAAGGGTGCAGTCCTTGACCTTCTGCAGTAAGCATTTCAGGTCCTCCTCAGTTTCAGCAAGCATGACTGTGTCATCTGTATAACGCAGATTGTTGATAAATATCTTCCACCAATCCTGATGCCACAATTCTCTTCATACAGCCCAGCTTCCTGGATAACCTGTTCTGCATATAGGTTGCAAAGGTATGGAGATAGGATGCATCCCTGGCGTATGCCCTTCCCAATTTTGAACCATGCAGTGTTCCCTTGCTCTGTTCTGACGACTGCCTCTTGGTCCAAGTATAGGTTTCACATTAGCACAATTGAGTGTTCTGGGATTCCCAATGTTCTCAGAGTCAGCCACAGTTTGTTATGATCCACACAGTCAAATGGCTTTGCATAATCAATGAAATACAGATAGACATTCTTCTGGTATGCCCTGCTTTCAGCTAACATCCATCTAACATTAGCTACAATATCCCTAGTACCACAACCCCTTCTAAACCAATTATTTTAATTATTATTACTATGAGAATAATGAGACAGAAATTATTTTATCTAATTGGAGAGGAAAAGGCTTAGGTAAGGGCAGCATAGTATAGTTATTATAAACAGGTAGTCTAGAGCTAGGCATATACATGTTGACATCAGACTCTGGATGCTACTAGCTTACTAGACTTTCAGCAATTCACTGAGATATGAGGCCTCATAAATATAGGACTAGCAGAGGGTATGGTGAGGAATGTTGCTTTTGTTGTTGGTTGCTACAGAACAGATTTCAACTTACAGTGATGTCATCTGTGCAGAACAGAACTGCTGCACTACATTTGAGGACTGGGATCTTTTGGAAGCTAACTACCAGGTTTATCTACAAGGCACTTGTAGTGGGATTAAACTCTCCAGATGGATTCAAATTTCCAATTACTCAGCTAGTAGTTGACCACTTAATCATTTCCAGGGACTATTTCATTTTTGAGAATTAAATGAAACAACATTGACAGTGCTCTTAGGAGGATTTCTGCCACATAAGGGTCTTCAATACGTATGACAAGTATTACAATTATTACTATGAGAAAAGCTACAAAGTAAGAACAAATTACTCCTGTGAAGAATGCCAGCACCTCAACATATTCTTCTATCTCACAAATGTAGCCCACAAGACAAGTGTTTGGCACTGATTTCTGGGAACTGTTTGTGAAATAAGTATCTCCTCATTTAGAAAAACATTGTTAATATTTATTCTATCTGTAGCCTCTTTACTTCAGATCACCATAGATTTTGCTTTATTTTCTAACAAAAAATCTCTACATGTGTCTAATATAAAACCCTGAAATATAATTACTAAAAAGATAACATTAGGCAGCCAGCCATAATTTGTCATGCCATTTCTTGCTGTATTCATTGAAATGAATGTATGTTGAACTACAAGCTCTGGGAGCTGTACTGTTAATTATGGTTCAAATCCACCAGAGTTTCTGCAGGAGAAAGATGAGTAATCTCCTCCTGTGCAATTTACAGCCCAAGAAAACCCACTGGAGGATCAGTTTTGAGTCAGTTGTAATTCCTTGACATACTGAAGCTTTCCTCTCAGTACGAATTGACTTTCTCAAATGAAAAGTTCAAAAGTTCAAAAGAACAACAAAACATTTACCATTAGGTAATACTAAAATGTACAGGTTTCTAAGTGAGATGCTAACTAGTGATCAGTAGTTTCCGATTTCTTAAAAATAAGATCTTTACAGGAACATTTTAGTGACCCATCTTATAAGGGAAGCCACTTGCCTCTACTACAGAGACAGGTGGACAAGTGGTTAAGACCACAGAATTTAACTACACAAAAGATCATAGTTCTACCCTATTACTGTCACAGAATGTCATCTTCAATTCTATATAAGCTACTAGCCCCACGGGTCATAAAGATAATGAGACAGCAGTTATGTAAATACTGAATAGATGCCTCAAGCAATTTGTCCATAAGCTGACAATATTTTGCTTGTATGAGCTGCAAAGTAAAAAAGTCTTATTTTAACACAAAATTTCCATTGAAGTTAAATTTTTATCCATGAGCTGAGGAAGGCAAGAAAGAGTTGCATGATTCCACAGTCAGCTCACTTGCTGAGACAAGTAATCTAACTTTTCTTCCCCAAGCGAAACGCTTTTACTGAAATGGTACTTCCACTGGGTTAAGGCATACAACTGCTATAGGTGAAGGTCTACAACTGCAAAATTCATTTGCACCTTTCTTAATTAACAAATTATTCCACTGTTTCTCTATTTGCAAGGTTCAAATACAAATCTACCTATCTCAGAAAAAAAAAATTTCATGAAAGTTGTACACAATATATTCTTTTTCATGGTTTTAGTTTTTGTTCTCAATTCTAGCAACTATTTATTTATACATATCCTAAAATCGATTTTTCTTCAAATAAATCTGTGGAGAAGTATAAAAATTATAGTTACTGCAATTCAAAGATGAACACACCAAGATTTAAAGGGCAGGCATTGTAGTGTGCTTAGTTTACCTAGTACAGGGAACAATGCCCCTGCACAATAAGCAGTCAGCAAGTTTCTGCAGATGAAATGAAGAGGACATTTCCTAGACTCAAGAAAAAGTCTCTGCCAGTTAGTACTTTAACAGCATATCAAAACAATTATGTAAAAATGTATCAGTTTATGTATCATTAATTGCCTAGATTGTTACAGATATAATTTTTATATGACATTTATAACATTGTCTGAATAGTCACATTTTAAGAGAGTTAATTTATTAAATAAAAGTGAGATGTCAAGTAAAAGTGAGATATTTCTCATGTACAGACACAAATCTGACTCCACTCACTACTGTAAGTGAGCTTTTCCACAGTGCAATAAAAACACAAAGACAGTAAATGAAGTCTCTCCAATGCTTCAGTGATCTGAAAACAGGCAAAGACTTCTCTAGATGGCAATATGGAAGTTATTATTCAATATATTCATTCAGACAATAATTTAAAAGTAACATATGTTATGCAAAATACAGAGACTCTTATGGTAATTAGTCTTTACCTCCAGAAAAGCCGCCTGAAGTGATCTCTTCTTCAAATGCATCAGAGAAACCCCTGCCTGCATTTAGCTTTGCCAATCGACCATCAATGAACTGAAATTAGAAAGTGTCAGTTAATTTTTAACTTACTTGCTAAAATTAATTTTCTACTGTTACAAAAAATATGAATACTAAGATTTCATTTGTTGTTATTGTTGTTGTTATATGCCGTCGAGTCGCTTGCGACTCATAGCAACCCTATATAGAACAGTCCTAAATCCTGCTCTATCCTGTGCCAATCTCACTGCCTCACATACATGGGTCACCCCAGTCACTGAATCAATCCACCTCATAGAGGGTCTTACACTTCTGCGCCGTCCCTCCACCCTCCCAAGCATGATGTCCCTCTCCAAGGACCTGTCCCTCCTTACAATATGTCCAAAGTATGTCTGACGAAGCCTCAGAATCCTTGCCTCCAAGGAGCAGCCTGGTTTAACCCTCTCCAGGATGAATCTGTTTGTTTTCCTAGCAGTCCATGGTACATTCAATACTCTTCTCCAGCACCACAGCTCAAAGGCATCAATTCTCCTTCTATCCTCTTTAGTCATTGTCCAACCCTCTGATGCATAACAAGTGATTGCAAAGACCATAGCCTGTATCAGACGCACCTTAGTCTCCAGAGAGACACCACTGCTCTTCAGTACCCTGGAGAGGTCCCTAACAGCAGACTTTCCCATTGCAACACATTTTTTTTATTTCCTGGCTACTGGTGCCAAGAGTGTTGACTGTGGAGCCAAACAGACTAAAGCTGTGAACAATCTCAACCTCTTCACCATCCATCTGATGTTGCCAGTTGGTCCAGTGGTGAGAATCTTTGTCTTCCTGACATTAAGCCTCAAACCATACTGAAGGCTGCAGTCCCTGACCCTCTGCAGTAAGCATTTCAGGTCCTCCTCAGTTTCAGCAAGCACGATTGTGTCATCTGCATAACACAGATTGTTACTAGATCTTCCACCAATCCTGACGCCACACTTCTCCTCATAGAGCCCAGCCTCTCGCATAATCTGTTCTGCATACAGGTTGAAAAGGTATGGAGATAGGACACATCCATGGTGTACACCCTTCCCAATTTTGAACCAATTTTGCTCTGTTCTTACGACTGCCTCTTGGTCGAAGTATAGGTTTTGCATTAGAATGATCAAGTGTTCTGGGATTCCCATGCTTCTCAGAGTCAGCCACTGTTTGTTATGATCCACATGGTCAAACGCCTTTGCATAATCAATGAAACACAGACATTCTTCTGGTATCCCCTCCTTTCAGCTAAGATCCATCTAACATCAGCTACAATATTCCTAGTACCACAACCCCTTCTAAACCCAGCCTGGACTTCTGGAAGTTCTCTGCTGATGTGTTGTTCCAGTCATTTTTGGATAATCTTCAGTAGAATCTTACTTGCGTGTGAAATCAATGGCACCATAGCGCCGCCACCCCCCCCCCATTTTGGGAGGGAGGTGCTCCTAGATCCCCACTGAATATCTAGAATCACATTATCAAACCCTACATGAAACTCTTAACTGCCATCAAGTTGGGACAAATTCATAAGTTACACCTCAGCAGGTTTCTAGGTGGGGAATCACACGGAGATTGCCTGTCTTTCTCCTATGAAGCTGCCAGTGGATTCCAACTGCTAGAGAGGACCCATCTTTGGGTGTGCAGTGAAACTCCCTATGGACTGAGCCAGGAGAACTCTCATAATGTAATACATACTATGTTTTGTCTTTTACATACATATCTAAAGGAAAGTTTAATTTAAAAGCTAAGTAAAGAACCCACAATAAAAAGTAATAAGCTTATATAGCTTAGATATGCTGGGCAAAGGGATAATCCACATCTCAGGCAAGACAATGAGGGATTTCATCAAGTTCCCCACTGAACATTTTCACAAGCAACTGAATCACAGAAAGTGAAACTGCAAATAAAGAGCAATTATTATATTCACAAACAAAATTGGGAAAGGTGTACGCCAGGGATTCATCCTGTCTCCATACCTTTTCAACATGTATGCAGAGCAGATTATCCAGGAGGCTGGGTTCTATGAGGAGAATTGTGGTATCAGGATTGGTGGAAGATCTAGTAACAATCTGCGTTATGCAGATGACACAACCTTGCTTGCTGAAACTGAGGAGGACCTCATGCACTTGCTGCAAAGGGTCAAGGACTGCAGCCTTCAGTATGGACTGAGGCTCAATGTCAAGAAGACAAAGATTCTCACCACTGGACCAATTGGCA